GACGGGGCTGTCCCAATTTCGAGTCTTTCGAGACTTAAAGTAAAGCGATATATTTGCTGGGGGGAAACGATTTTAAATTCGCCGAACGACCCGCGATTAAAATTATAACGACGAACGCCGCGGCGATTTTCGGACGCTTTTCGATTTTGCTGCGTAAGTCAAGTTTTATTTTTGATACAATTTTATTAGCTTCAAGGCATTTTTCTTAAATATTATATTTTCTCGTAACTGCAAATATAACATTATTAATATTATTTCTACTTCTTATTGTATTATTATTATTATTATTATTGTAGATGTGAGCGCGATTTCTGTGGCAGTCTCGTGATAGACAGGCTGATGATTTATTACAACGTCGTTCAACTTTTTGCCAAAGTGCAAAGATTCATGTACAGCACTAACGCAACGAAGGCACGATTCGAGAAAGGAACGAGTTGTTTCATTAAACACACGCTGTGCCTATGAAACGTTACATTTGTGTGCCGACACGGTGCGTGACGACGATGCGATGGTTCCCACAATAAAGAAGCCAGGATATGTTTACCAATTATACATATGTATATGCGACCACAGGAACGAACACGTCCGGCGTGATATAGCAGGAAAAACTACTGGCTTTGTTTAAATTGTATATAGAAATTGAAACAATACCGCGAAAAAACCTCTTGATTCTCTGCAAAATACAGAATGTCCAAAAGCGCGAAAAACGGCAATCGAATTTTTCCTCTTTCTGATCACGCTTATTTTTACGCAATAATTATGCTGATAATTATTCGCCGCAGAAAGGTCTTTTATTACATTAATTATGTAATGCGTTTAATCAAATAAAATATATAATGTTCCTTTCTTTTCTTTTTCTTGAAATGGGATTAAAATTTTGCAGAGAGATCTGACAGATTAAAATAAAATAATAAATTGTAGCAAAAATTAATATTAACAGTTAAATATCTATCTCTGGTTAATTTATTCGGAAAATTTTTCATTTTTGTGATTTTTATCATTCTAAAAAATTTCTCGAAGTCAAATTCGAAAATGTATCATTATAGGTATTATAAAACTAATAAACATTTATAGGAATACAATAATTTTGAATCAAAGAATAATAATCATTTGCATATGAAAATGTATATGTAATTCTCTCATTCTCTGCCTCTCTACTGTATCAGTGAAAGTTTCGAATATTGTACCAACTACAGAGGGCAGCATATTACGGTGCTAGAACAAGTTTGCTGATGGGAGTTTCTTATTTATAAAACGCATTCACCTAATGTTAATGTAAAATCCTCATCTTACTTTTTACTGTATCAATATTGATTCAGAGGCATTTATCTTTCGCTCGGAAAGACATAAATTATACTTTTATATCTGCCTAGCCTTTCTCTTCTTGTATTTTTGCCGTAATTTAGAAAGCAATTCGCTACATATAAGATAGTATTGAAAATTTGGGATTTGCTTTATTTACAATTGATATCCATTTCCTTCGAAGTAGTCCTCTTGTATTTTGATACAACGATTCTAACGCTTTAGTCATACTTGAAGCCTCGAATTTTTCCAATATTTTCGGGGATTTGTACTAATGCGCGACCACTCGGTGTGCTCGTCGTCTTCGATCGATATTTAGCCTTTTTTAAACGTGATTACCTTTCAAAATACCGTGTACGGTCTACAGCTTCGTCACCAAAAGGTTGACGAAGCATTTTGAGAATCTCGGTGGCCGATTTGCCGAGTTTTACCAGGGCATGGCGATTTCGGGACGGTATAATAGATCGAGGTCGAATCGCAGTGCTTAACACGCTACAAAAAAGAAATATAGAGAACGAAGCTTGGCTGAAGCCCTCCAGCCATGCGTGCTGAAGCATGGCTGGGGTCGCTGTATGAAATCTTAAGGGGGGACCCAATTTCCAAGGGGATGGAGACTCTCCAATTGTAAAAGAGAATAAATCTAAAATTTTTTATAGACTGATGTGAGCCCAGGAAATTTTCGATATCACTTTGTCAGTAATTGCAGATTCTATATTCGTTCACACTCATTATTTTATCAAATAATCATATTACCAAAGGTCGGCTGTTCTGTTATATATTGTATCTATTCTGTTATATATTATTAATATCTTGTTCCAAAAAAATATACAATTGCTGGATTGTTGATAATTTTAATAAATACGTAATCGTCGTCATTATTTTTTTTCACAAGTTTTCACGAACTTGAAATGTCTCAATAAATACTCAGAAAGATCGGTTCAAATACTTAATTTTCTTCTTTCGTGATTTAATAATGCTTGCTGCTTAAATCAATACGAGCGATTTAAGAGAGATACATTTTTCATATTTGACATGAGACATGTCATCTTTTAATGGTACATCATATATTCCTATAATCATATAATGGATAATAAAAAATGCCACAAAAATATACATAATTTTTCGTTATCATTTAATAATTAATATTAATTTTCGTAATTAATAAATGACTAAATCTATCTCTGAATCGTTCGTCTCTTTCTTTTTCATTTTCCGTAAGGTCGAGGAAATCAATTCCATTCGTAGGAAACAAAATAAAAATCACACATTTTCGAGGAAACTGAAATGCTGTTCCAAGTTGGAAGTATCATTGTCGGTGAAATACGATTATATGTATACTATAATATGTATAAAATAGGTGTTGAAGCAGCGAACGAGCGATTGCGATTTCCGGGCATGTTATACACTGAGAAAAAAAAATCGTAGATTCAAAGAAATATTATTTGATTCAACTAAATGCAGCGGTCACGGGCTGTCAAGCTAACGTTTGTTAATTCAAAAAATATTATATTTAAATAGATTCAGAATTTCTTGATATTACTCACGTATATTTGATTTAAATATATTAATATTTGCATTAAACAAATCACTACAACTAAACGAGTTTAGTCAAATTTACAACATTTTTTTCTCAGTGTATGAACACGTGTATTCAAACGCGCGAACTCATCAGTTTCATGTCAACAAAACAGATGTAAATAATACGCTCGCAAGTCAAATTATTGTTGGAGCATTGATGGAAAGAGAGCAGACCAGAATATTTTCTTAGAATATTCATTATAATTTATATGTACAAACATTGACACATATTAATATACCATATATACATTTATATATGTATAACATGTGTATATATATATAATTTATACATATATATTATAAACAGATTACGCTTTACTTAATCTTACATTGCGAACATATAACCTAGATGTTCTCAAAGTGAATCGTCAAATAGAAAGCGATCAAGTCCAGTCAGTCAATTTTATTGAGAAGGTATATGATATCTCTCTTTTTTAATATGTACAGCGATAAAGTTATTCTTATTACTGGAATAATTAATCATTTCTGTCTCTTTATTTGCGATAAAATAGTTATCCGTTAATTTCAATCTCAAAAAATGTGAAAAATCGTCTTTATCAGTGGTGGGTCTTTTCTGGCAGCTTGAAATTAGTATCCCTATTAGGTATTATAGAGAATTCTTCTCGACGAAAATTTAATTTATAAATATACAACAGATTTGTTTTTAATTAAAATTACATTTCAAAAAATGATATAAAGCAATATAAATACAAATAACAAGTGACAGTTTTTGATGTGGTTGATTGAAGAGATTGAAGATTAAGCTTTATTATTTTCTTGTTAGATTAGATCCGCCACTGTTTTTTGTTTCGGCGGGTATGCACATAGTACAGTTACTTTTACGAAATTAAACGAGCTTCAAAAAATTCATAAAATTTTCGAACAACGGAAAAAAGAAAGAAAAAAAGATAAAATATAAAAATAAACGTTTATGTTTCTGTTGCGTACTAGAACACAAAAATAATAATGTCTCTTTCTGTAAAATAATGTTCCATATGTTTTTTTGCAAAACAGAATTGATTTTAAATTATAGGATAAATTACTTACGCACGTTATAGCTAAATCAAACCACGCACGCTTTATTTCGTGTGCAGCCCTTTTCTGTAGTTTCTATATTTTTCCCATTATTTTTTGCAATATTAAATTTTATATTTTATATTCTTTGACGTAATAGATCATAATGGAAATCTTATCGGTTCAAGATATCTTTTGAATATCTTTTTGTAGTATTATTACGGAGATGTAACTTTCACATATATACACTGTCATCCATATGTCATTGTAATAACCCTTCAGTGGACGCGTAGGGTATTTTACCCCACAACAATTTGTAAAAAATGAGTGTTTTGGACTCATTTCAATACACAGAACCGATTATATTATTATAAAAAAAACATTAAAATTAAAGTTTCAACCTGTTAATGTACTTTAAGATATGTGCAACAATAAATATATATTATAATATTAAACAAAAAATAATGTAGGGTGTAATTTACACCCCACGAGCTCTTTTCAAATTTTCACGCGTTCATTGGAGAATTAATATTAGATAAAAAAATTAATAAATTAATAAAAAGCAAGAGGTAATCCGTTATATTTATTAGCCTGTCTGTAAATTTTGTAAATAAATTCTATTTTATCAAATTTGTAAATATAATGTATATTAGCATTTATATAATTATAAAATAAATTGACAGAAATGCGGGAAAATTGTTTATCTGTATTTGCATATTATCCATAATCTAACTAATCTAGCCATAATAAAGTAAGATTATACACAGTAACTGATGTAAATTAGCGTTTAATCTCCACAATAATATCCATATCTGATAATTTTTTCTAGAAAATTAATGCTGAGAATTAATTTTTTAGATGACTTAAGAAACGACCCTAAGACTTCGCTTGGTATAGACGTTCATAAATTTATACCACGGATTATTATAAATATCTACTCAAATCAGGAAATTTTTCTCCGAGAATTAATTTCAAACTTCAACGATGCTTTGGACAAGGTCCGTTACAACTCTTCCATTAATATTGATAACGGAGAGGAATTGTGCATTTATATCATTCTAAACAAGAAGAATCGTACTCTAGCCGTCATGAATATTTGTATCGGTATGACAGAAACTGAAATGATCAACAATCTCGGAACAATCGCAAAATCTGGAACCAAAATTTTCAAGAGTACAATGGATTGTGATTCTATGATCGATAAATTCGGCATAGGCTTCTACTCCGTGTATCTTGTGGCTGATAAAATAGTTGTTACATCCAAGCGTTATGATGATGATCTATACGAGTGGGAGTCCAATTCGCATCAACGTTACAGTATTAGGTGTGACCGCACTAACAATTCAATGGTACGTGGCACAAAGGTTGTCCTTTACATAAAAGACAGTCAGTCTAAATATCTAGAAGGGAGTAATATCAAGGAAATCGTTGAAAAGTACTTTCAATTTAATAAATACGCGATCAAACTGCTCGTGGAGAAAGACTGTGAAAACCAACTGGACAAAAATGAGGCTGAGAAGCAAGAAAAGACGAAGAGAACAATTAAAAAAGCGTACAAGATCAATAGAGCAAAGCCTGTCTTTCTCACAAGTGTATTAAGCAACTGTATTACCCCCGAGAGCTTCGAAAAAATTATGAAATTAAACAGTGATCAGAATAGAAGTATGTGTACGATATATTTCTCTGTGAAAAAGCCATTAGAGTTCAACGCTCTATATTCCCAATGTCAATCGCATGTCATTCAATCAAATAAAGAAAAAGAATGAGATAAAATTATACGTTAGACATGTTTTCATTATGGACTGCGAAAAATTAATGCCGAATTACTTGAGTTTCATAAAGGGCATATTTCACAGCAAAAATCTTCCCCTCAATATCTCTCGCGAGAAGGTAAATGGCAGTATCTTGAATATCATCCGTAACAGTATCGTAGAAAATTGCGTCAAGTTCTTCAAGGACGTATCAAGGGACCAACGCTACGAGGAATTCTACAATTTGGCAGGAACATCAAACGGGGCATTTGCGAGGACATAATCGCGATAAACTGGCGCGGCTTCTGAAATCTCGCACTTCCGCGTCCGGTGACGAGGCGTGTTCGCTGCAGGATTATATCAATAGGATGAAGAAGAACCAGCGATACATTTACTTCATCGCCGGCGAGAATATAAAGCAGGTAGAGGATAGCGTGTTTATCGAGGCGTTGAAGATGCGCGATATCGAAGTGATTTACATGACTGATCCCATCGACGAATTCATGCGGTGAAAAAGATGAGGAGCTTCGATGGAAAACCTCTTATGTCTGTTGCTGAAGGCAAGCTGGTGCTTCCCGAGGATAGAGCCCAGAAAGAGACCCGCATGCTGAAAGTGAACAATCTTTGGGCGTTGTGCAGAGCTATGGAGAACGTTCTGAGCGATAAGGTGGAAAGCGTCGTGGTCTCTAATAGATTAGTTAAATCACCTTGCTGCGTCGTAAGCTTGAAACACGACAAGACCGCCAACATGGAGAGGATTGTATATAAAGACGCAAATTCTCTATACAAAATGCCGATGGAACGCAAATTCTGTACACAACTCCTATGGCGTTTAACGGCGAAAAAACAATTTGAGATCAATCCCGATCATGTCATTGTGCAGAATCTTGCAACAAGAGTTACTATTAGCGGTGATCTCGATGCAAGCATTAAGAATCTCATAAACCTACTGTTTGAGACTGCTCTGATTTCATCTGATTTTATTCCGGAGAAACCCGAGTTGCATATTAATAATTATATTTATCAGCTAATCAAGAACAAACTTGGCATAAAGAAAACGGAGACTGGAGACATAAAATATAACGAATCCGCATATACATTTTTTGTGGAGGATAATTTACAAGATGACTTTATAATGGACCAAATAATGGTTGACCAAATAAAGGAGGAAATAAATTAAATTCTGTACATGACGCTATTTTATATTGCTGTATAGTATTTATGACATCGCACTTTGTGGTTTATAAAACTTATAGCTCCAAAGTATACGTGATTTGTGGTTCGAGGTCCATAATTCGAATTGCTATTCATATGAGAATCATGAAATAGTGTAAACGGTTAGTTTTAGATTTATTGAGTTCGCGTAATTGTTTGTTATTCCGGTTATTCGCATTTCCATTTCGCTAGAGAGCAAGATGGTTTTTTAATAAAGTCAAAAATTAATATCAATCGAATCACCACGATCCGATATATAATAATCAATTTGTTGATTCGTGTATACCCCAGACAGCACAATGTCCAAAATAAGATGTCTTATATTTCGATTTTAGACATAGGCCGGTTTTAGACATAGTCGATTTTTATTTCAAGACCGGCTCTGTGATTGGTTCATGACATATGAAAATTGTACTTAAGATGGTCTTAAATATAAGAACCGACTATAAATACCGGCTATAGTTATCTTATATTTAAAATCGTTTATCTTTAGATGCTGTACGACTCGTTTCATTGGCTACGGAGTATTATTTAAAGATAAACTTAAGACGATCTTATATATAAGATTTAAATACATTGTGTTATCTGGTGTTATCCAAATATACAAATAATAAACTACAAATCGTTAATAATTAGGAAGAGTACATCCTAATAGCGAATGACGAATTTCCGTGAATTTATTGCGAATCACGAATCATGAATCACAAATCGCGCATAGTTTGACACTAATATATTTATTATATATTTACGATAATTGCAAAATAAAAATATAATTCATTATTATATATATTATACATATTATTTACAATAAAATAATTATTTACAATATAATATAATTTTGTTACTTTGTCATTATTCTGCAAATTTTTCCTTTTTAAATCATCATTATTTTATTATTAATTATTATTCTTTTATTATATCATATTATGATCATTACTGCATAAAATTGTATATACTGCAAAGTAGAAGCGAACTCAACGTCAACGAAGTGAATTAATTCAAAGATTGTATCTTTTTTAGTATTCTTATTCTTTTATAATAATTATTTATTATTATAATTAGTCTAATTCATTTTCGAGCAAAATTTATTTCTTTTATTATATATAATTGTATCCGTATATCTAGCATGGAAACATCAAAATAGTACTGCTTACAGGAAAATTAATTAGTAGTAATAAAAATAGAGACGGAATCTAATCGAATCAATATATGATTAAATGTCAAAACAAAATTATAAAAAAATTTCTTTTAGATTCTGAATCATAACCCAGATAACAAAACATGAATGTGCAAAATCATGCAAATTATTACTGCGGAAACAATTTATGTATTGTTCCCACAAACATTAAATCGTAGCTCTGTTTAGAATTCATATTTATGCCATGGTATTTTTGCAGCAAAGATGTGTAAATTATTACTGCAAACTGTTTGCAGCAACATTATTATATCTAAATTATTTCCATTAATAATATTTAAACCACACATATCCAATAAAGCCTCCGGGCGTAAACTGTTGCTGCAAAAATGTAATGAATTTAAATAAACCTTTGCTTGAAACAAATTTAATATTGTTGATATATGACAGGCGTTTTGTTATCTGGGTAATATCGAATTTTTCCGTCATTTACAATATCAAAAAAATTTATATTTCGACTAATAAGACTTCAATGAATTCTTTCTTATAACAGTAAAGTATAAGTGAATGGAATTCAGAAATATTGTCTTCAGAATCTGTCTGAAGAAATCTCGATTAGGATTCGGTCACGTGACAGCATCTCATCTAATGCGTCCATTTCTACATTAATTGGGTAACTTAATCTCCGTTTAACTTACTTCTTATCTTTTTAGGAATTAAAAAAAGATCAAAAGTAAATTAAACCAAGATTAATCTACATTGGTAGAAATTAATGAACATAACTCTACTATTTTCGCAGTAAAAGTGCCAGCATCGTAAAACGTTCTTGTCTCATTCCTCTCTCTCTGCCTATGCCTCTTCTAGGCCTGTTGGCCTGTTCTTTTTAACTGAACTTCTTGCACGGTTCATCTTTTTCTCTTCACATTGGAGAAAAAAAGAGAAAAGATGAATTGTGCAAGAAATTCAGCTAAAAAGAACAGGTCCTCTGTTTACCTCTGTTTGAGGTTGATAAAGTTCCTAATTCCTATTGTTACGTGTATTCGTCAGAGAGGTGTGCCAAAACGCCATCTACATGTCGCTGCGATGCGTCGACTGTCGAGAGGAGCCCTTCCACCTTCCACTGCAGACGAAATTAGTCGTGGGCAGTGGGCTATCGCGCGGCTGTTCCTTACAGAAAAAAAAATTATGATGGCAAGCAAGGCTTGGAAGGTCAGTACTGCGGATCCCCGCTGGAACGTGCTGTCATGAGCCGAGTCGTTTCTACGGCCTGACAACGCGCGGCAAGCGACGATCGTGTTCCCGCGGTAGCGCCTCGGCCACAGGTACTGACGCCGTCTTTTCGCAGGTGGTCCAGCCGCACGTGCCGATGATCAAGTTCCGCAAGGGCGGCATCGATCGCGCAGGTAACGTGGACGAAATCAGCATAAGCGATCGTCGATCGTTCCCTTCGCGGGGAAGTAGGAACACCACCCTCTCGCCGATGGATTTTTGATTCGCATTGTTGGTTAGCAGTTGCGGGCACGATGGCCGCGCCATCTGGACGATCAGGATCGGCGCAGATGCAGCAGAGCGCGGGCGGCGCAACGGGCCCCCAGGTAATCGTACTGCCGACGATAGAAGATATTCACTTGCCGCCACGGTATCAAAGACGACCGATAGATCAAAAGGAAATCGAATATATCAATGTAAGTGTCGACGGTTATTCAACAAATATTTTTATTAACAGACGTAGCACCATAATGGACGTTGGTTTTTACTTGTGATAGCATGTGATATATGTAAAAAGTCTTTTATATTACTCTATATTTTATAAATTCTGTTATTAATATTAATAATGCTGTTATTGTATAAAAGAATATATAATTATATATATAATTAATATAGTTATGTTATATTAATATTATTATCAATATTAACAGAATATTAATAACATATAAAATTAATAGTTCTGTTAAGTCCTGCGCAGTGTGCACAATAGAGCACATACTAGGAATAAGAATAAATATTAAATATTAGGATATACATATAAATATAGGAACATTCCTGTAATATTATTAATATTAAATATTAAATCTTAGGATATGTAAATGTAGGAATATTCCTATATTTATATGTTATAGAAATATTCCTATACTTATATGTTATATTTTATTCTTTTCCATTGTGCGTTACGTTTAGTTATTATTTCTAATTCCGATTTCTAATATTTAATATTTATTGTTATTCCTAAAATATGCGCTCTATTTTGCGCAGGGCCTTAGTAATTAAGTAATTAATATTAATAATTCTCTATGTAATATTACTCTACGTTTAATGTCTTGTGTACATATAATACTTTCTTGTTTGTGTGTTTCAGCGTGGTGGGCCAGAGTGAATTTGCAGTGCGAGCATTTAGGAAACTCCGTATTTAATTAACTTTGTTATTGACCGACTCGGTGCAATGTGTGTTGTTAATAAACGAACCCCTGACAGAGAGCAAGCTGTCCTGCGCCGCGAGTATTATTTCATATTTACACCCGCGATCTATCGGGCAAGGTCTCTTGTGACATTGCCAGGGCCTGCTATTTCTGGAAACAGCTTTCAGCTCACTCCAATAACAGCCGATACTTGTTAATCCTGGATTTACGACAATGAGACTTTAACAAAATACCTTGCTATATCATGACGACTGTCTACTTGCGTTTCTCGTAGCTGAGACGAGACGAGAAGAGATTATTTCTCAATTCTCTGTGATTACGCGAACTACCGAGATATAAATACTGTGGACCTAAAATAAGTCACTATTCTCGATTGTCTTTGATTCATCGCTGTTGACGCGACAGGAGCGTGCGATAGCAGTCCATAAATCCGTAACTTACGAGTCGAATTAAAATCGCGCTCTTTTGCATCGAATCTTGGACACAATACTATCTAACAGAAAGCCTTTTGTAGATACATACTTGGTCTCAATTTTTTGAAAAACCTTTTATTAAAAGTTCATTTGCCTAACAATTTGTGTAATCTTTTTAAGAATACAGAACTCGAGATTTGTAGCAATTGTCTCTGAGAGTTCGATTTTTCTCTTGTTGCAATAATTTTGGAACAAGATGGGCCGCTTTTTGAAGCTCGAGGAAAAGTGACGTTCCGCGGGGCGACGGCGCGCCTTGGTACGGCCCTGCCGCGGCACGACGAAAATAGCAGACGACAGTGTGCTGCGACTCGACTGCGGCGGCCGTCCTGCGGTCCCGCACCCGCACCCGCCTCTTCGCGGTATCCGTACTGTGTATACTGGTGTATACGTGAACGCGGAGGAGGCCGAGGAGAGGCGATCCGTTCATACTTTTATCGAAAGTTTTCTTGAAGCGCGAAAAATTTTTACGAACGACCGGACCCATCCGCTGCAAAAATGGCCGAGATAACGGACTTCGGACCGAGGAAAACGTTTTTTGTACTCGCGATCGTGTTCGGCTGCTTCACGGTGCTGTGGCCGAAAATTCTGCATCCCATGTTCATAGGATTTGTCACTCCACATCACTCCGCATCGGACAACTCGGGTAAGACTCCGAAGTTTCTACGCACAAGGCGATGTTGACGACGCGAGAAAAATCGCTAAGAATATCGCTTTTTTATCGTAGAAATATACTTTCTACGTATATAAACAACTTAGATTTTTACGCCACAAAATTGGCTAGATATAAGAATTATTTAGGTGAAATACTTTGGCAAGGAGTAGTTTTTATAATGCCTTGTAAAATCGTTGCTCGTTGATTAATTCGAATCATTCGAATGATAAAACCCACTGAAGGACTACTTTACTGTTCGTATTTGCGCAGTGTGCTGCGAAGTAATATTTGAAAGCGATGTCACCGCAGTGGACATCATGCAGGAAATGTGTCAAAACATATTGAGGCACCATCCGATTGATCCACGCGTGAGAGACGCGTTAAAGCTTAGCAAGCTGACCCCGCAAACCTCGAGCTTGTGTAGGGAGGAGGTCCTAGCCAGATGCGGCATAGACCTGTCATCCTTTCTCGCCGAGAGAGAAAGCTTGGGAAAGACCTACAAGCAGGTGTTGGAGGAGATTAGATCGTTCAATAGCTCCCTTTGCCTTAAAATGAACTTTGGCGTGCCACTGTCACAATTAGGGATACCTCATCTTATCAGATATCATATCCTGATGCCGCACAGTAAGAATCGCAAGGATATATAAGTAATTGCGCGCCAATAGTTGCTATTTACTTGAATTTTATGCCACTCAAATATTCACTAATAACTAATTAACTCTCTGCGATTGCTTACCTAATATATTCTTGAGATAGGTTTGTCATTTTTAGTTTGACGCAACGCTTTGTTATTCAGATTGTATAAGTGATTCCGTATTAATATACTTTGACGGTACATGATGACCACATGGCTTGTAAATAGCTTATATAATAAGATAAACTTGGAGAATTGTGCCTTTAATGCATCGCATCATCAAGTATATATGGAAGACGGATTTGAGTTGTTCATTTTGCTTTGGTTGAGTGCCAAAAAAGTAAGCGTGATGTTTGGCAGACAAGTCTGGCCTATAGTCAGTTTCAAACACATCCATACTAATGACCCATTATATTCTCCTCATTCTAGTTTCCAACCAAGGTTTTATCCCAAATTTTACAATATTAAGGTCACCTGGCTCAATACATTTATAACAGTTTTTCTGATTTCTGAATAAAATGCAAAATCCTACTAATCTCTGGGACATTAATATAGAGTAAAAATATATTTTTGTGAATTGAGATAAGCAGACGTATATTTTACAGACAAGTCTTTTCTATGTATACAGGTACTATACCACAGGAGCGTCGTACTCCTCCTCATGCAGGTGGAATGCATCCCGCGCTGAGGGAGAGGGGGAGGGCCATACCAACCTCTCATATTGTACCAAAGGTAACGGACAGACAAAAATCTAACCACGTTGTACCAAAAATGAGGCCACCTCTCGGTAGTGCTGGTCACGGTGTTCAAGCACCCAAAGGAAGCGTAACAATGGGAATTGTCATGCCACTGTATACGATAGGAATAGTCTTATTTTTCTTGTACACCATTGTTAAGGTAATATATAAATCTGCAGAACAATTCTAATAAATATTTGGACACAATTGAGCCTTAAAGTTTACATTAATAGGTCCTGAAGAAAAATTCCGATAGCGAGATTATATCGGAATACCCGGGAGCAGCTGCTGAAAAGGAATTTCGGAAAATGGTATTCAGTCCAGAAGCTCTTGCTACTGCAATGACTGGAGGTACTCTGCATTATCCGAGAGAAAAGTCACCGCGCAGGACTGCTCCAACTATCGAGGAATTAAACGATCGTAAGTGCGTCTACAAATATATTTACTATTACAAACCACATTTCATTTACATCGTCATCAACGAAATGTTTTTATGAGGAGCTATTTCTTTCTACTTACGAGGAGAAAAATTTAGAATTAAGATATATGTTTTCTTGAGTATCTCTGAACAGATTTTTAAGTGGTGTTGCATGATGCAAGGTTTGCACAATTAGAACACACACGTATTTATACACGTGGATATACATTGCAAGATTTATAAATAAAAATGTGCATATTGCAAGTATTCGTACTTATATTCTGAACACGTTTGGTAATGTTCTACATGCTGGAACACATAGAAGCGGCAGGAGACATAGAGATAGATCAACTGAGACAACGTTTGGTCGAGACGGAAGCAGCCATGGAAAGAATCGTTGCCCAGATGGGCAACATATCACGTTCAGTAATGCATAACTCGAGCTCACAGCCAGAAATCAAGGTTTATCAGATTAATTTTGATGCCATTTCACAGTTTCAGTTTATTTAGTCGTTAGAAATGTGCACGTCGCTGTGTTCTGATTGCGTTACAAGCTTGACCCATCCAATGTACATTAAACATGTTGTACATTTAGTATAAGACCTTATCTTCAATATTTGGCTTCTTCAAATGTCGATGCTTGCGGATAACTGTTGCGAAAAAAATTACAAATTGTTGGTTTAAACGTTTATAGTTTATATGAGATTCATACTGATGTACTAGTCGAGTGCGATATTCGGATATACGACACATTTAGGTCAGGATATGCGTTCAGTAATAGAATTCACGTTGTATATTTTACATTTTGAGTAGTAGATGGGTCTCCAAAGTCCAATGGTCTGGCAGGGGTCGATCGCGGCTCTAAGGTATATCCCTTGCCTCAGAAAATATTTCTAACAAGAGTAACCAAGAGTTTGTGGAACACCTATTTCCAGTGCACTAGTTTCACGAATAATGAGTTTATCACAATAAATGTTTTCTTAGGCTTATATACATATATACGATAGTTTCATTATGACATGATTCTACAATAGTAACAATATTTCAGTGTTTTAAGTGCAGAATGTTATTATCATTTTATCTTTTATACAAGACATACATGATATTTCTCAATGCTAAATATTGTTGAGATATAAGTGAAACGATAGTTGCTCCTCCTATAGCTTCTCACAATTACAAATGCTAATTGTGTGCCTTGCATGATATCCGCTTATTTTATATCTTGTTGATATAATATATTAGGAAATGTACAAGAAAATTACATACATACACATATATGGATTTGTATGACATCTTTTTTGTGACTCGTATATATAATTATATAATTATAATTATATTATGTTTTTTAAATAGACGTAGAATCTTTAACATAGCATATTTTTTTATTCTGAATGGTTTTTGTTTTTGTTATATTAAGATTGTATATACATATAAAATAGCTTTTATCGAATTAATCCGCAAAATGGCTTTGATATTATTACTACATATGTGTTATTATATTTTTTATTTAAAAGATATGTACAAAATCAGCATATAAGAAACAAGTTATAAATGAGTAGCATATTAAGAATTTAATTTATAGGAGGACACTGCAGACCAGGAATCACATAGTAGGGAAGGAGAAGAATTAGATGTAGCAGAACAGTCGCCAACAGTTAAAGTCATGAGTATGGAAATGACAGCTAGTTGTGAAAGTGGACAAAAATGTAGCAGACCCACCACTCCCATTATTCCTCCACCAAGGTACTTGTTTTTCCCTCGTTTATTTTGCCTATTATTTTATTGTGTATTATTAGTACTTTCCGAATGATTTATTAAATATTATTATATTTGTTTCAGTAATGTTGAAAGGGAAAAAACGCCGCCAACACCCATATATTTAGAGGGTGCACTTCCGCCGCAATGTGAATTACTCGTAACCGATTCAGAAACTCAAGCCGAAAAGTCAGAGGACGACGACGACGCTCCAGTTGTTCTCTCAGGCAAAATGACTCTCTCTCTCATCAGCCTCGACCAGATTCCAGCTGTAAGGAAATATTAGAATTACCAACAGAATCAAATGAATCTGCGGAGCCTTGTTTTATTTGGTGATTCTTTCATTCATTTAATTGTTTGCCTAACTTCTGTATAGGTTACTTAATATCGAGATCACAAATCACAGGAACTAAATGCAGAATTAAGTGCAAAGAATGGTTTCTTGGCTATTACATGTATGGGTATGAATAATGCGCTGATTTCATCGTTTATTATTTCTATTCCCATTATTCTCTGTGATTTGTTCGAAATATTAATAACTAGTGCCTTGTATTTCTTATGTTTCGCTAATATCTCTTATTTTAATATAAGATACACTGGCTTGTTAATACAAATTTAAGTTTTGTCAAGAATACCCAATGCTTCTGAAGTAGATTGCCAAACTTGAAGAGTACTTTGCACTTTGCAACTTGGCGATTTATTTCAGAGACAATTTATATTTTGTTTAAGAGAACATGTAATTTATATTTATTTAATATTGTTTATGTCCGCGTGTACACAAATTATATATGACTAAACAGAGTGAATTTGTTTTTAATTTTATTTTTATAATTTTGATAAGTTTATGAATTCTTATACACTTAATGCTAATGAGATATGTTATGCAAATTGCCTTTTGCAAGAAACAACACTATAGCATTAATTATGCCTATATTCACATTAACATATTAACCACTTCAATTATACAAATAGTGATATATTTTGATATTTAGTGAAATATATTTGATATGATGTTTGAAGAAGTCTTATACCGCTATTTTTATGCCACTTAATATTGACGTTAAAAATTTATTGATTACATAAAATGAGTCACGTAATTTAACCAAATCGTTTTTTTTTTTTTTGCAATTGATAGCAGAAAAAGGATAGAAGAAAATGTTAATCCAATAATATACTTTTGCTTTTTATGACATTTTTTTTACAGATGCAACAATATAAAATACATGTATAAAATACGACTGCATTTTCAAAAATAGAATTATAGAAGTTTATTATAATATACAAGATGAACAAAATAAAGCGTGATAAATTTTTATCTCTCCAAAAATATTGTTTCTAGAGAAAAATGTTTCAAACAAAAGTTGTTAAGTTTGAAGGAGGACACATGGTTCCGATGCGAGTCATGTCATAAATAGATACTGTCATTTTCAAGAAATTTTAAAGGAGACTAATTTCTTAAATGGAACTTGATTTTTTCCCTTGAGATAAAAGTTGTAGATCTCGTCGAGACGTGTTTAAAACACTAAAAAAAACTCTTTCATTAAGAATTTTCTAAGATATTTAAATTTTTGTCAATATTTTTAATATAAAATATGAAATATCTTGAAGTATTCACTTTTCGATTACTTTACCTTCATATTTTTATGAAAGAAAGCGAATAATAATATTAATTTTTACATTTGCAATTTTGCAAAATTGAATGCGTCTACAAAATGCAATCGAATTTTTTACAATAATTTTTTTTTCTTTTACAACAATTGATTCCGTTTATTATTCTACGTATAAAAGTATAAAGGTAAAATTGAAAAGTGAATACTTTAAAAATATTATAACAAAATTTTAAATATCTTAGAAAATTCTTAACGAAAGAGAGCTTTATTATAGTGTTTTAAACACGTCTCGACGAGATCTACAATTTTGATCTCAGGGTGCTTCCGAAGAGGCGCTCGGGGTTAGGTTTTGGTATAGTGCACGTAACATATGCTATACCAAAATCTAACCCCGAGCCAGGCCCGAGCGCTTCTTCGGAAGCACCCTCAAAGAAAAAATCAAGTTCCATTTAAGAAATTAGTTGCTTTTAAAATTTCTTGAAAACGACATCTATGACATGACTCACATCGGAATCATGTGTCCCCCTTCAAACCAAATGAATTTTGTTTGAAACATTTTTCTCTAGAAACAATATCTTTGAGGCTAAAAATTCGTTTTATTTTGTCTGCCCTATATAAATTATTCTCAGTACTTAATATATAGAAGTAATATATAGAATTTAAAAATAAAACCCTAAGAAAAGAAATATTTTGCAAAACATTTTAGTTGATATTTATATATGTTTACAAAACTGTTCAAGTATTTAAACCTCATATAATGAAATGTTTACTAATAACGTAGACTGAGTACTGTGTTTCTAAATATTCGAGAACCTGCGTACATTTGGCGTACATGTGCGCACATTTTATATCTTATAAGATATTTGATCAGTTAATAACAGCTATATAATGGCTTCGAAAAGTACAAAAATAAAACTCTTGCAATGCATAATCGAGGAGAACAATCAGAAAACTCGGAAACGTAGAAGAATGGTATTGTATTTCACAAATACTTAATAAAGAAGTGACTTGTCCAATGGTATTATTTTAAGTGAATAATTGATCATAAAGACTTCTCGTAGTTAATTTGTAGCATCATAATTTTATTATATGCTCATTAACGTGAAAATTATGACAAAAAAATGTTTTGTAGCCAAAACTTTTTTGTACTCAAAAATTGAATAATTAAAACGTTTGATTATTTTGTATCATCAAGTTTAAAATAGATTCAACTCGGTTAAAAACTGTGTGACTCATCCTTTATTTTATTTAATAAATAATCTGTTTCTTATGTTGAATTATTTTGTTTTCTAATTTAAAATGCAATTTTATAAACAATCATATTTAACGTATAGGATTCGGAGGCTGAAGATCCAGATAAAAAGAGAAAAAAGGTTTCGGACACTCAAGCGGAAATTCGAGATGTAAAAGATAAGAAAAACAAAATATTGCAAAAGAAAGAGGAAGATAAGGAAAATAGAGAAGTAGAGGAAGATGAAAATGAAGAAGTAGAGGAACAGGAAAATGGAGAAGTTGAGGAACAGGAAAATGGAGAAGTAGAGGAAGAGGAAAATGAAGAAGTAGAGGAAGAAGAAAGTGAAGAAGAAGAGGAAGAAGAAAGTGAAGAAGAAGAGGAGGAAGAAGAGGAAAGTGAAGAAGAAGAAAAGGGGGAAGAAGAGGAGAAAGAAGAAAAAAAGAAAAAAGAAAAAGAGCTAGAAGAGGAGGAGGACGAGGAATGGGAGGAGGATGAGGAGGACGAGGAAGACGAGGATGAAGATGAAGATGAAGATGAAGATGAAGATGAAGAAGATGAAGATTACAGAAAAGTGACTTACAACCTTAGAAAAAATATACGAAAAGAAAAAAAATAAAGAACTCAGTTAAGAGTGAAAAGACTTAAAAGTAATTCTGTTTCTTCAGATGTGGATCAGTGTTTACCAATCTTTAATAAGTCCTCTTATTATAATGAAAATAATTATGATTACTATAATATGTAATATGTAAGAAAGCTGGTGTAATACTCTCACAATATGAAGACGCATAAACTCGTTGGTTGAGCACTGCCAGATAACCTAAAATGTTATATGCATCACGTTTCCGTTTTCTTTTTTTTTTCTTTTTAATTGACATATATTTCACATTTTGTAGAATCCTAAATTTATTAATCACAGGGGCCAAAAGAAAGAGAGGCAGTGCTGTCTATGTCACGTTACAATGCCATGATGGCATAGATACATCGAGCTATAACACATCTACTACTCGTAGTTAGAAATTCATGAAATGGTGTTTTAGGATTGCCCGATAGATAAAAATAACAGAGCGTCATTAATCGGTCCAAGTGTATCATAATATGATATGCATGAAAAATTCGTGGAGATTGGCAAGCACTGATACAACTTTCACGAAAGTCAAAGATCTTTTCTTTTTTGTACTACAGCTAGGGTTCACTCTCGTAAACTTTTTCTTCATGTACTAATCATTGTTCGATAAATGTTTAATTTTATATCATATTACAGCATTTTTGTGTTTCATATTTTTAATTTTCATATTAAATTCTGTAATTTACGCGCGCTTTCCGATTTTTCTGTATTTATTGTGAAACATAAAATGCTTTATTATTTCTATAATTCTAGTCTCAGTTTGTAAATGTAAATTAAAATATATTTGTTTAAAGTATATAAAAATTTTATTTTATTATTAAAATAAATTTCATTTACAGATTATTTTATTATATATAATTAGATATTGATATTTTATAAAATATAATTTAAAGAACAGGATAGATATATTCGTTGTATTTTAGAATAATTTATAGTATCAAATAAGTTGTAATTTTAATTGCTTTTACATAAAAGTCAATACGGCAAAAAATAGCGAAAAAACAGGATGTAATTGGTTGAATAATAAAAATGCGAGAATCTATTATAAAATCATGTAATGGTATAGTTGATCCAAATTAGGATATGGCATCAACAACATTCTTGATATAACTATATTTTATATTGTATGAAAATGTTACTGTTTCCGTAATAATATTACATGTTATGAGCATGATTGAATAATATTAGAACGCAACTTAATTAATTAAACAAAGCAGGATATTGTTTAATGTTCTTCGGTCTTTAATATGTAAACCTGTCGAATTTTTTTAAATTTAACGTTAATTGGAAACATATTTATACTTAATTAGATCCCTTTGGCTTATACCCAAATAAGCTCTCTTGTGGAAGTATTTATGCAAGATGATGATGAGACTAATAATATTTACATTTATTATTAGAAAACGCTACGTAGATAAGTTCTAGTGACAAAGCAATCTGTACGAAGGATAAAGTGTTTTGGGTGCAAATAAGGTATTATATAACTTATTAGACAATATTAGTAGTTGTTACTGATTTTTATTAAAAATTAGAAGTACTTGGTCGTGTAATAAAGACAGCCGTTTAAATACAAGTGCTTATTAATCATCCTTATGTAGTGATCAAATATTGTTATTTAAAAAAATGAATATATATGTAATCTTAATAATATATTTGAAAATCTTACTTACCGTATTATTGCTATCATATTTGCATGCAAGATACTATCATGTTTTATCACATATATGCAGTAAAAAGTTTCATATTTCTCTTATATGCCGAACTGTCAATTATCTCAATAAAATGGGATCTTTTTTTAAAATATTTCTTAGAACATAAGTTTTAAATTCTCTCATTGATTTATTTTAAATTAATTATTATTATTAAAAAAGGAAAATAAAAATAAGTTTTCTTCAAGAATTGCGTGAATGTAGAAATTTTACTATTGTCAAAGAAAAGATCGTATAAATCTTTATATTTTTTAAACCGTAGTTTACGAATTTTATTCTATTTATCAAATGCAGATTTCTTTAATACTTGATTTGACTCTGTTGGTCTCGATCTCGCAGGTGCTCCGCACGCAGGCAAAACGGCGTATATACATTTAAATGTTTCACCTGTCTCATCTTACTTTTCTTCCTCCTCATTTTGCTTCCAATTTAACAGAAAAAGGAAACAATATTTTCCACGCATATAAAATATTTCGGTTTAAATTCCTGAACGTTCTTTTCACAAAATACTGAGTCGGTTGCCATATACAGAGAATTTCGTACACATAACCTATACGAAAGGTTCTTCATACCCTTCATACATTATCATTAACTTGTGTTGTGGTAATTATGGTGAGATTTGAGATATTTAAAATCAAATCAATTGCACAGGCAACGTAAGTGATGGTCGATCCTTCGTACTGCCGGACCGAGCGCATTGAGGACGGAAGAGCGCTCCGCACGTTCTCCCCTTCGAAGGTTTGATAAATGAGAATCCCACGTTTTTTACGTAATGTCTTAATCGGCATCCCGATCGGGATTGCTTTCTGCGACACAGTCGGGTATGTCGCGAGGGTGGAAGGGATCTCCATGCAACCCGCGCTGAATCCGGATCTACGGTATCCCGATTACGTGTTCCTGAATCGCTGGGCCATACGGAATCGAGACATCCAGCGCGGCGACATAGTCTGCATCGTGTCCCCCAAGGTGCCGAATCAGACGCTCATCAAGCGAGTCGTGGGACTCGCCGGGGATATTATAGGCACTCACGGATACAAGATCAGTGCCCTTCAAGTATGGATACAATATGTAGAAGTAATTATTGGGTACATAACAGCGAATAACACATGCTTGGGCTCTAACATACTATCGCTATCGACTTGGTATATCGTCATTCTTTGTCTGTGAATTGATTTCAATCTTGTGATTACAGGTGCCGGAAGGCCACTGCTGGCTGGAGGGAGATCACGTTGGACATTCTATGGACTCTAATACCTTTGGGCCGATATCTCTGGGTCTGGTAACGGCGAAAGCTACTCATATAGTTTGGCCGCCAAATCGATGGCAACATTTACATCCTGCGAAACCTAATCATGAGGGCTGTTAGCTTTGTAAAGAGATTGCAATGGGAATTACCCGGTACTGTATGCAGGTAAGTTCGATTATTGCCATTTTAGCCTGATAAATAGTCTACAATAAAAATTACTGTTACTGTGCGCAGGCATGGCTTAACTATAGGAGATGTTGATAACGATGGTGATAATGAACTAGTTGTTGGCACTGTTGAAGGAGAACTTTATATCTTCAAGGTAAATATGTTGTGAGACTACTTAAATTCATGTCTTTTCAAACTATAGATAACATTTGTTCTTGTGTAACAGGGATCAGAATTATGGCAGAAGATAACTGGCCTCGGTCTTATAACTAGTGTAGCAATTGGAGATATTTTTAATTACGGACGCAATGCACTTGTGGTCATCTGTGGCGATGGATGGACGCATATATTTTACAGCCCGAGATCTGTCAATCCCAACAATCCTAACTTGCTTGTGGGCCAACATATTGGTAAAGATACAAATGAGCAAGACAACTTCAAAACAAGTACTGGTAAGTCTTGAGTTTCAGAAGGTACACTTTATGAAATAACTCAAATAACAAAAGATTTAGATAACTCTCATAGGATATATTTGTGCAGACGTAGGAAATTTCCAAAGCACGGAACACGTTGACAATACTAATGAAATAAATGAACTCTCTGGGAAAATGGAATGTGTGCATGTACAAAGAATCCCAACTAATACAAAGACAGTGCTGATAGCTGATGTCGATAAAGATGGTGCTAATGAGATGATACTTGGTCTGACAGATCGTGTTGTGAGATCTTACAGATGGTCAAGTAACGCTGACTTAGAAACAGGAAAGTTAGTTGGCCTAAATAAATGGGAGTGCACTAATCAAATAGGCACGGTTACGTTGCAAGTATGTCGACTGAAACACAGACTCCATTATATGTTATGTAAAAGAATTTGAAGAGTACAGGGGTACAGGGGAAAAACGATCAAAGTCCACTCTTTGTCGAAATTGATCCCGATCATGCTATCTTGTGGCATTTTCAAAGAACTTTCATAATTTTTATCTGTTTTGATTAAGAACAGTTACATTCATTGGAAATGAGGCTGAAAGATGTACCATGCTGGGGAAAAACGTTATGCATTCCGATATTCACTGCCAGTACTTTTTTCAATAACTTCTCAAGATATCTAATGTCCTAAAATTAAAATTTAAAAATTCTCGAAATTACTCCAGATGAACATTGATCGTTTTTTCCCTATACTCTTTATTTAATATAATAGTTATATAACTAGACTTTAAAACGATGTTGATACAACATAAATTATTGTTTAGCATACTGGTGATGGTACGCCAACTCTACTGGTTGCACAACCTGGCGGTACATTCATGCGGATTAAGTGCAATCCTGAAGATTGTCAATCAAAGAATAGTTCCTGCGAGGCTGTAGATTATCAGACATTAGGGATATCTAGGATGCGCAATCAAAATATTTCAACGGAGATTATCGGAGATTTAGAGCCGGGAGTAACGCCGTTTATCTCGACGATCGAACCTAAAATGTCTAGTTACATACTCAAAGATAAGTTGCCGAAGCAAAGTTTCACTGATGATAGCCAACTAGACGTGAAAACCTTCAAACCTGCATCGCTCGAGTTCAAAAGGAACTACTCGCAACCGGCATTTCGAAAGAATAGTCTGGATATGGCCGGCGAGTATGGTAGAGATTTTACAGCAGAAAATCCGGGACCAGTTAGATTTTATAGTCCCGTCGAGTCTTCAAGCACTGATGAAATGGATGGCAACTTTATTGGTGGCAATGTTATTCTCGGACAATACGATAGTAAACCTATGAAAGATACATTGTTACCATCTTTTAAAAATTTCTCCCACAATAATAATAATAACAATAATGGAAATAATAGTAATAATAACAACAGCAGCAATATCAATAAATCGAATGAACAGGATGAAATCATAAAAGAAGACATGGATTCAAATAATGAAGTCATTAGTAAAAATGCTCCAAAAGGGAAACCTTATGCCTTGGCAACGCTTGATGGAACTATTATGTTGGTACAAGATGAGGTAATTTTATGGTAAGCAATCACGCGTAGCGACGTTTAGATACATCTGTATGTTTGCCAATATATCACATTGTTCTCTTCTTACAGGGCTATGCAAGTAGATCATCAGATATTCGCTCTGTGTCGACTGGACGTCACAGGCGATAGTTCTGACGAGATAATCGCCTGTGCCTGGGATGGTCAGACCTACATCTTGGATCAACAACGACATAGCGTGCGTTTTCAATTCGAAGAACCGGTCAGAGCTTTTTGCACAGGAAATTATAACGTGATTCCGGGAACGTCTAGCCCCAGCCTAGTGTATAATACCTTCAGTAACAAGGTTTTTATTCATAACAAGTGAAATAATTAATATCATTTACAATTGTGACAATGATAATTACATGTATTTTCTATCTTAGATTTTTCTTTATTATGACGTCACTCTGCCAAGCATGACGATCACTCCTTTGAATCCCATGAAGGACTGTGAGTCTGACGAAACGCACGTCTTAGAGAAATTACTGGGCGAGTGTAATATAAATGACAAACAGCAAAAGATACAACAGTTAACTGAATGGTTGCTGTATGGCGTACAGTAACATATGGCAGGCAAACGTTATTACAATTATATATATATAGAGCGTGATTCTTATGTATCATTACATCTGTTTTAAAAATCGGCTTATATAGGCAAAAATGTGTAATAAAACAAACATATTCTGGTACATGTGTTAAATCACTATTCTTAAATCTTTATATCAAGTATAAAAATTAATCGAAAAATATTTGTATCCAATTAAAAAATGTTCGATTCTGATCGTGATAACAAAACATGTTTCTACCTCGGTATCTCTCATATTCGACAGGAATCTCATGTGCGATCGTTCTTATGGGACACGTCACTGCGTTATCGCGAAGGATATACGACCGAAAGTTCGTGCAAATTTTTGACAAACAAGCCAGCGACGATATCGGTGATGAAATTAATTTTGGCGCAGAGTGCAGCATAAAGACGCCTGCCTATTTAAGGATTCTCGTCTATTTACGAGCCGCAGGGTTTTATCTGCGGTGCCGTAAATCAAGCTGATACAGCTGAATATCGGCCTAACATATAGCATCGCATTTCACGTCATCATTGCCAGTGGGTATGCAGATTTCGTTCGGTACTTTTCCAAATTCCAGCGAGGCTGTTTTATTATTAGATACATACATGATTAGATCGTGGACGCGTAAACGACACTTTTCCGAAATTCAGTCGCTTTGTTGCCGGCGCAGTACGTTACTCCAGACACTAATGCGGAACTTAGAGCGCTCTACAGTAAGAAGAAAGTAATCGAAATATGTACGTATAATTGGCAATCGCAAAAAAATTTAGGATAAGATCATCTTAGGTTTGTACTTCCATTCGAATATAAAATAACGACATAATTTATTTCAACAAACGAAAAATAAATTAAGATTACTTTTAAACTAAGTAATTAAAGTAGCAGCACTTAAGCTAAGTAATTAAAAATAATATTACTAAATATTATTAAGATAGGTAAAGTACACTATTGGGAATACTCCCAATATTTCTCAGTTTAATTAGCGTTCATGTACTTAGCGGAAGATTAATGAGCTTCACCCTCTAATCTTTGAAACGAGTAAACGCGTAAAACGCGAGATAATCTAGCGACTATACCTTTTGCGCGTGTAACTGTAATATACATGTCGTTATTTTTCTCTGAAATAGTCCCTTAACGCGAATCTTTTGAGCTAGTGAATTCAGGATGAACGTCAATGGCACGGATCCGTTTTTCGCTGGCCACGAGCTGAAAGAACTCACTTTCGGATGGACCGATTATACCCTGTTCGGCGGTCTGCTGGGTATCAGCGTTCTCATCGGCATCTACTTCGGTTTCTTCAGCACGAAGCAGGACAACACCACCGAGTACCTACTCGGCGGAAAAACTATGTCCTTTCTTCCAATTAGCATGAGCCTGATAGCGAGGTGACTTAACACGTTTCGCGTATCTTATCGCCGTTCTCAAATAAAAAAATGCAATTTCTTCTTAATCATTTATTTGAAAGTTTACTTTTGATATAAGCAATCTCTGATCGAGTAATTTTTATTTATTTATTGTTAGTTTAAAATTTATTTTAAAATTGTGCTATATGTGTAAAAATTTATTTCAATTCATTAATGTATGTTCGTAACTTTTGTTACAATTTATAACTTTTATAAGATTTCAAAAGTCATTGAATATGTTTTTAACAACAAAATCTTTTGATTTAAATCGATTATTATTAGCGAGGACGAATATTATAATTACATATAAAGACATCTTTCTGTCAAAAATAGAGAGTAATACGCTAAGTGTTGTTTTATTTTTATTTTCTGATATTTTTCGAAAAAAGCTTGATTATGATATTAGAGAAAGTTTATGAAATATATATTTTGGAGATAAAAGAAGAAAGCGAATTAAAATTGAAGGTCTCTATAATTTTTTTCTAATTAGGCTTTTAATTAATTCTATTAAAATTGATTAAAGAATAAGATTTTATTACCTTTCAATTAAAGCTCAGCTCGCAAGAAGCCTTTTTATTTTTAACCGCTAATTACTTACAGAAATTATTTTCTCATGACGGAAACTCTACCGACGAAAAATTAATTTCAAATTGATAAGAAAAATTTGAATTTAAACAAATTGGAACACTTCGAATATATTAAAGCAATTCCTATAATATTTAATCGTTAATAATATCAAGAAAAAAATCAATTTCTAATGGAAACAAAATTTATTTCAGTCACATATCAGGCGTGTCTTTGCTCGGCGTCCCCTCCGAGGTGTACCAATATGGAACTCAATACGCGGTGTGCATTTTCACATCCTTCATCAGCTGTTTCATAATCGTAAGCGTATACCTGCCGGTATTTTACAAGCTGCAGCTGACGAGCACTTTCGAATATCTGGAAATGAGATTCGCCAGGCCGGTCCGGCAATTAGCGTCTTTTCTCTACACCCTCGCGCTGGTCATCTACGTGCCGTTGATAATCTACGTGCCGGCGTTAGCCTTCTCGCAAGCAACCGGGATGAATCTGCATTACGTCGCGCCGGTGATATGCATGGTGTGCATCTTCTACACGACCATCGTAAGTGATATGCCTAGACATTTCGATTATAATGATCATTTTAAGAATTTTCGAATTTTTATGATGGATGTCTGTCGGTCTAATCGGAGATCGCAAAATCTGCATTGCTCCTTGAATTCTTTGAGAAAGAGAGAGCGCTCAATATTTTTGCAAGTTTACGTGTTTTTTGGGACATTCAAATTATATTCTGCGTTCAAAGGGCTGTTACTTTTGATAGCTTCGAAGATTCAAAACTTAATTAACTTCAAAGTTAACTTCGGAGCTTCGAAATATATTTGCGACATAGTTGCAACATTAGAAATTGTATTTGGATTTTGTCATTTAATTTTATAAATGTATGTCTATCGCGGTACTATTATATTAAATTAATAATTGTATAATTTTGATTCTTCGAAGCTTCGAAGGTTGAAGTTTCGAAATAAATCACCAATCCTTTTCAAACGGAGAATACTGGTCACCGTTATCGTCTATTAACATTCGCACGTGCTGCATATTGAAACAGAGGTCGTAAAAACCGTAGAATCACGCCTAGGTAACTGGAAGGCCGTGAAATCACGAGATAGAACACGTGTTTCACGCGCGTCATATTGAAGCCATGACGCGTTATCGAATAAGAATATCACGAGGCCTGTTTGTTTTAGCTCAACTTCTTGCACAGTTCATCTTTTCTCTTTTTCTCAAGAAATTCAGTTAAAGCAAACAGGCCTACGGTTTACTTAGACGGAACGTACAGCCGCGACGACCATCGAATAAACGGTTATTTAAAAAAGATTTTGCTGAACATGACTGGCGGTCTTATCAGTTTCGCAGGTTGCTGGATTATTTACGATGTGATGTCGCGTCAACAAACTAACGACTGCATCGCCGCGCCACTTGAATAAAATACATAAAAACGATGACGAAATTGATCGTAATTTGTCTTCGTCTTGGGCTTGTTTGAATAATAGTACGCTGGATAATGATGTGTGTGCGAAATGTGCATAGATATAGATCATGCATCGCTTTGCTTCGTAAAGATAACTCCGATATTTATGGAGATAAAGAACAACAAGCGCTTCTTCAAGGCTTATTATATGCAATAATATTAATATTTGCTGACGATTACTCTTTTATAGAATACACAAGCTTAACACGAATAGATATGCGTTATAATCGTTTATGCAATTTGCATACCACGCTGTAACATCAACATTGTTATTAAAATATGATAATATTACGCCGATTGCGTAGGTTTCTTGATTAGACCGTCGTGAGACAGGTTAGTTTTACCCTACTGATGACCAGTCATTGCGATAGTAATCCTACTCAGTACGAGAGGAATCGCAGGTTCGGACATTTGGTTCACGCACTCGGTCGAGCGGCCGGTGGTGCGAAGCTACCATCTGTTATTATGCCTGAACGCCCTGAACGCCTCTAAGGCCGTATCCTCTCTAGTCAAAGGTGGCAATGATATCTCTAGGAGTCTCGTGAGTCGAAAGGCTCAAAACAATGTGACACACTTACTAGGGATAAAAAATTTGTATCAATAACGATTTATAAAATGCACATATCGTCCCGTTGCATTGTAAGTATTGTAACATCATTATGCAATTGTGTTGCGATCTCTCCCCCGGGTTTACGTTTCACCGACTCCCCGACCGTTTGATTATGTGCACGTCGCGCCGTGACTGACACTGATACCTTTATTGTGCGAGTAATCTCTCTTTGAAAAAAAAAATATATATCTTATATAGGGAGGTCTGAAGGCTGTCGTATGGGCGGATACGGTTCAGATGACGGTGACTGTCGGAAGTCTCATTGCCGTTTTGATACTGGGAACGATTGCCGTGGGCGGCGTCGGTGAGACCTGGAGGATAGCCGAGAAGGGCGGTAGAATTGTGTTTTGGAAGTAAGAGAACAGGTGTATTTTTTTACAACTTATTTACAACTTGTTACAATTTAGTTACAATTTATTGATGAGAGAGAGAAAGAGGAAAGAGCATTGTTCGTTAATTAACACATTCATTGCCATGACAGTGTCACTTTTGTCAATCATCAATGACTGTCATATATATTTTTGTGCAACTCAATATTATAAATTGAACACTTTAAAAATTAAGTATTTTATTGTTTGTTTTAATATAAAATTATTTAATCCAGCATGAATGGAAAATCAGCTAAAACATGTTTGGCGATGAATGTATTAAAAATGAGCAAACCAAGGAATATTGTGCGAACTTACTCGTATCTCCATGGATATAGTATTGCTTCATCAAGAATTATTAAATCAAGATGTATCGATTGCAAACCGATCTCGAGAAATGCAAAAATGCGCGCTATTTCTAATGCATGCGTTTCCGTTTTTGTAGATATTAAATTGCATTGTATTTCAACCACTTATTGTTAGATATCAAACATTACTCGCACGATGTTAGATTTAACGCACGGTACCTAGCTCTTTTTGCAACTGTGTTGTCATTGTGTTCTTCTCCGTTAAATTTTTGATACAGCAGCGTATATTGACAATAAAACTTAACACGTTTATTCAATCCGTAAAATTTATAGAATAATAATCATAATTTAATATGCAATCATAACTTTAATATCCTAACATTAATATCGTTGTATTATATTCTCGCAGTTAATTACGATCTAATATCGTTATTCTGACTATAAATTGATAATCTAGGTATTGATATCTTATTAAATAAATTGACTAATATTCTCAATTCTCTTTCATATAGTATGGATCCCAGTCCTTTCACCAGAAATTCGTTCTGGGGCATGTCAGTGGGAATGGTAATGACATGGCTGGCAGGGTTGGGCATCAGCCAGGTTTCTATGCAAAGATTTCTGGCAGTACCTACTATCAAAGAAGCGCAAAAGTAAGTGCAAAATATTTGCTTTTTGAAATCACTTATGATATAAGTAGCATCATTCAAACGTTGAGCAACTTTGTGATAAAATAATCGCTTGTCAAACGAAAAAACTCAAGAAAAAGTCCTGTTATGCCGCGAATATAAAAATATATAAAAAATTTTGAACAAAAAATATTCTACAGTGATAAAAGTAAGATAAAAGTTAATTCCAAGGAGTTAAATAAGTAAATAAATTACGATATTATTATGTTCTTTGAAAGAAGAAAAATCTAAAAAAAAAAAGAATAACAACCAGCGTTGTTTTACGCATCATTTTCGCAGGTCGATATGGGTCCTGGCTGTGGGCCTAATATTTGTAAAACTGATTTCCGTTTTCACCGGCCTCACGATGTACGCCAGATATCACAAATGCGATCCCATAACGGCACATGTAAGTTCGACTTCGTTGCTTATTAGCCTTTATCTCATTCTAAGCCGTATACGCTAAGTGCGTAAATAAGACTTGCGAAGACATCAAACTAAGTTTTGAAAGGATGGTATAAGTATATACTCGACTGAAGTTAAAGAAATATAAGCAGATGACTATACCAGAACCGAATCACCGAAAGATTGCACATGCAATTTTACTGTAAGTTTAGTTAGAGACAGTTTCTAAAGTATCCTATTTAACTCAAGCATCACAAATACCTTCGCTACTTTTGATAATGTAAGAAAATGGAAGGAATTGTTCACTTCGAAAGAACAGTTTGCTATAGTTAACGATATATCTTTTTCAAAATTACTCTTTGTAAGATTTTAATATCATTGATGTCTTCTTTAACTTTTGAACAGCGCAAGAGATTAAAGCCGTGGTAGAATTTTTTCCAAATTTATTTAAAAGTAAACTTTCTTAGATTTATCGTATTATTAAACTCTTTTCTAAGATTCTTTATATACATTTTTCTTATCTCCTTCAACGATACTCACGTCCTAAAAATGCGATAAACCCTGTAATTAAAGTAAGATTAAAAAGTTGAGCAATCAAGGATTAAACGAATCGCCTCTCGTGAAGATTCCAGTGAAGAGAATTAGCTTGTTTTCAGGTGGTAGCAAGGAGCGACAAGATATTGCCGTATTACGTGCTGGACGTAGCCGCGAACGTTCCGGGACTTCCTGGCCTCTTTCTCGCCGGTCTGGTTAGCGCCGGTCTCTCGACGATGAGCGCCGGGTTGAACACAGTCACCGGCACGATTTACGAGGATTTCATCGATCCCTGGATGCCAGAGAGTAACGACAAAGAGACTAGAGCCGCCAACATTATGAAGGTACAAAGGCGTAATATATTGCGGTCCGTAACCGCAAGGAAAATAAGAGATTCGCGGTCTTCCTTTTTCCTCCATTTTTCTAGAAAGAAATGTTAAGGGGATCCTAAAGTGAAGGCTGAACTTCCTCGACGTCGGTAATGTCAACATTTCTAATTCTGTTTTCTTGTCATATATCTATATCTGTCCTTGTCTAACGAGAGGCATCTGTCTTTGTTTGATTACTGCGCCATCTCTTGCCACACGCAATATTGCTTATCCTGTCAACCTGAATGTGCTTTTGCACATATAAAAGTTATATAAAGTAATCTTTTTTTCTAGGTTTTCAATCTTAGATCTAATTGCACGATATTGTTCTTAAATGTTGTCCCTAGGTCATGCCGGTCTAATTTTGTGGATATTTATCGTGGAATTTTTGTACAAAGCAAATATTGTCGTCACGTATACCAAAAATTAACAAAAATATTAATTTTTTTTCGTTTTTGATATAAATTTGACCACCATGCCCTAGATTTTGATGCGTACTTTAATTCTAGACAAGAATTTTGCATTTCTATAAAGTCAATTAAAAGATTAGTGCTAAGAAAAAAAGCCGGTATTACAGACGGCTTTAGGATCCCCTTAAGCGAGAAATATTCGCTAAAACAAATAAGAGTAGAAACAATTCGGGGATGTATATCTCTTACAGTTCGATTCCAAAATTATAAACACGTCCGCGACACGCGACGGTCCCGGCGATTCCAGAACGGTTTATGTCATCCCCAGATCACGGTGGTACTCCTGGGCATCCTGTGCGTGGGCATGGTGTTCCTCGTGGACCGTCTCGGCGACATCTTCCAGCTGTCACTGACCGTGACCGGTATCACGGCCGGCGCGATGCTGGGTCTGTTCTCGCTGGGGATGTTGATGCCCTGGGCGACGACCAAGGGAGCGGTGGCCGGCGGACTGGTCTCGATGGTGACGATGATCTGGATCATCGTCGGCGCACAATGGCACATGGCCAATCGCCGTCTCTATTACCAGCCGCTTCCCTCCACGACGGAGGGCTGCCTGAACGGGCCCGGTCTGTTTAATCGTACGACTGTAATGACGACCACGCAGAATCCGACGCAAGTCGAGTCTGTAGACGCACCTTTCTTCATGTACAGGATATCCTTCATGTACTATACGCTGCTGGGGGCTCTAATCGTGATGGTGATCGGCACGGTAGTCAGCTTCCTCTGCGGCGCTCCTGATTTAAGCGACATTAACCCAGATCACTTTCCACCGTTCATGACCAGGTATGTCTGAGGATACTTTGTTACGAAGTATAGATTTTTGTTTAAAACGTTTTGAAATTAAAAAGAAAATAAAGATATATTTTTTTAATTTTTTAATTAAAGTTTATAAGTAAATTTATTCATATATATACCACACATATTGTATCTAAAATTGGTGGAAAGAATATATTATACATATAGACTATTTATAGATACTAGAGATGTGTGAACTATTAAAATTTATATCATAAATCGTTGCATCAAATATTTAAGTTTGACTGTTGGACTCAACTTATTTCGAGTATTTTAGTCGCGTTTGACTATTTATGCATTTATAAATATCTAATTTTTTTCGCTATATTTTTATCCATATATTCTCGTAATTTTCAGATTTTTCCCACCGAAAAAATACATGGAAGTGTCGTTACATACGGTGCCAACAGCGTTGGTAACTAATCCAGAGAAAGAAGAACTGAAATCTTGAAACGTGTATATTTGATTCCATCCTTACTTGTTCTCCGTGACCTTACAAGACTTGATTAAAACACACATACATGCACGCACACAATATAAATGTCCTTAAACGTTTGAAAAATCGTTCGATTACAAATTCTATGATCTCTCTGTAACAATATTACGTATTCTCTATATCAAATACATTTAGTACGTAAAGAAAAAAAACTTCTATCGAAATCTAGTTTCCACCGAATAAATTTAGGCCAGTTCACAAGCTTTCAATATATCAACATATTGATACTAAGATGTTTAGAGAGAGATTTCCGTAAACCGTCCGAGGAAGAAAGGCTCCAATCAATAAATTCTTAACGACATAAATTGTACGGGGGACAGCGATCGACAGACAAGCGGACGCATTTGTCCGGGAGAGATAACTGCATCTAACCGGCCTCGTCCTCGGAGTTGAAAGCACCCATTAGAACGTCGATGAGGGTGTCAAATTGACTAGATTATATATCTGCCCCACGCATCTCAATACAAACAAGTCCCCGGCTCCATCTGAAACATCTGGAGGAACGATGCCTATCGGATTAGAGAATGTAAATGCTGCGGGAGTTTTTGTCGAGTCATTCGTTGAGTCTCTCTCTTTAAAATCCGCGATGGATCGATCGGTGTGTGTGCCAGAGCGTGCCGTCGCGCAGCGGACTTGTGACAAATTTCCAAGACTTTTCTCGTCTCTCGAGAGAGACGCGCGAGACCACCAACTTGACGGGAGAGGGGTCGGAGGGGGGGGGGGACTTATCATTTCGAATTCGGGACGACGAAAGGGAGGACCCTTATCAGCGATCGCCAACTCGCAGAAGACGTATAGGAAACCCCCGATCGACTGTTCCTCGCGGGAGAACATTCCACGTCTCCAGCGGAGAAACGACGCTTCTGTCTCGAAGCGGGCGACCACATTCCACCGCGGAACGGTTTTATTTTATTGGACTGAAAGGTGTCAAATATAGGCGGCAGAGACCCATCTACTTACATACCGATGCGCGAGTTTCGGGGAACCTCCCCCCGTCTAGTTCTCCTCGCCGCGTTCCCCCTTTCTATCCGGTCTGATTTCAACGTGTGGGTAAAATCCCGAACTGAGAAGGACCCGGCCTCGCATTGTGGGCCGGGTGACAGATTTTTGACAGATTCTGTCTGATTTGGTGTCGAGTGACAGACCTGAGAGGCCCGATCGCACAGCCTCCTCGTGGTTGACGTTGTCGTATATCGCCCCTCTTTATACACCAAGTATCTCTTGAAAGCGGCGCTTGGTTATGCCCCGCCCTCGGTAATCCTTCGTGCCAATTATTATTTTTTTATTTATCAAGATAGAGCGATTGGAGAGTGAACCCGATGAAAAAATAAGCCTATATCGAAAGCAAAAAATAATGCGTCAAATCTAGGAGTCACGTAATAAAGTGACGAAAATTAAGAATATTGTGCGCAGAAAATAGCTACCAATCTATTGTTGGAAAAATTATTCGAAGATGCTTCACGTTAATTCTACTATATTATAGATATTTTATATGTCATATATATATGTATGTATATAAAATATAGATATTATTATAGATATGTAATCTATTTCATAATTTTTCTTTTTCTTATTCTATCTTTTTTTTTTTAATATAATTTTCTATCTGTTTAAATATAATTTTTATTTTAATTTTTCTTTTGTCCTATCTTAATTTCTGGCACGCGCGCGTGTTGTGCGTGTACGTGTGTTTATAGCCTCTATAGCTGCCATATTTCAAAATTCAGCTACGATTTGTATATAGCTTCTAAAAATATTATTACACGTCGTTGATGACTTTTTATTTTACAACTCTTATATTTTTAAGAGTCGACTTTAAAGAGCCTTTCGTCCTGGAGTTCTGCGCCCCTGGCCCGCAGACTTTCCGCTGCGGGCCTGCGGCATAGGTCGAAGACAAATTTCCAGCTTTGGGTCGTAGCTACTACTATACGGTCAAGGTTTCTGGGGGAGAGAGTCGCTGTATATACATGCGAAACGAGCATAAAAGACCAGGGAGCTGTCGTGGCGGGATACGGCTTATTTCGGCGACAATGCGCACGGTCAGGCGCTAGCATAAAGACGCATAATGCATCCCACTAACGTGAAAATTATTCTGTCAAACATTCGGCCGTCGGATTTATATCGGGACACGCTTTTTCAGGAAGGACACGCCGATCGCGATTCTCTTTGGCAGATGCCGAAAGTATTTCTCTCGGTCAATGAGATGCACGCCGATCCGCCCCGTCGTCATCGCCGATATTATTAGACAAGCTTGCTGTATGTCACGGGATGTTCGATTCTTAAATAGTCAATTTAACATATATTTTCTAGAATATTTCTTTGGACTTTAAAATAATAGCATTTAAATGCGTGACAATTATGTGAAAATCAGTTAAAATGCAAGATAGAAAGGAGAGACATTTTTATTAAACTTATAAACCTATAAACTTTTACATTAATTATTTAAAATTATTTTTTTATATATATGACGTTCAAATATTAACAAGGCGCAATTGTCGATACGCGATCGCGAGTGCGCAAAAATAAAATTGCAAACTCCAATCGGCTTACTCGAAAGGATCTGGAAACTTTTCGTCTTCGATCGCTATTACTGTTTTTGTTGTAAAAACTGTCGCGTGATGAAGCGCGGCACAATAGCTTTTCGAGAAGCGAAACGAGAAACGAGACGAGAGAAGCTACAAAACAGCTCTCCCGCCAGCCGACACGCGGAATATTGTGACGTTTCTTTTCCGAGTGACATTCAATTTCCCCAGGCTGGGGTAACGTCTCGTGCCCCCAACCGCACGCACTGTATACGCTACAGAATGGAGAATACGATATGCCCGTGCATCCCCAACCCTCCCCCTTTTCATAGCGTCGACGCAGCTTCTCCAGGCGCAGCCGGGGTGCTCTCTCGTAGTAAATACAAACAAACAACAATTGGCCTCCGTTTCTGCCCACGAGACCGACGCCGCGACGCGACGGGTGAAGAGAAGGCATGTCGCATGTAATACAAGGACGATCGCAACCGGCAGCTTCAACGTGATCCTTCGGGTTCGTGCTTTGGAAGTTTGTGTCGAAAAGTCAACCTTTTATTATCTTGATGATTCAACATCGGAAATCATATCGTATCATTTTTTTCAAATAACGTGCATAACCGACGAATGTTATTAAATAAAACTATTTTTCAAGTTTAATTGCAAGGCAGGAATCTTTCTTTTGGAGACTTATTAGAGACTACCCCTTCGCAGCATTTTCAATTAAAATCTTTTTATAGATCAAATTTCAATTCTCTCAGCAGAAAAAGTTTACATTTATTGCGTTATACTTCTTTGTTGTATTATCACTTTCTTCGTTTAAGTTTCCTAATTCACAAGAAAAATATGTTTGATCATAAAGAAAGAGCTCTGACTGTCCCTCTCTACTCGAACGTATTGTACGACCTTATAAGTTTATGGATATACTAGCGGAATGTCTAAACACCCTTTTAAGAAAAAATATGTCTGAACCGATGCAAATCGCACAAAGAAAACAGCCCAAATAAGCGAGATTTGTCGAGGAGATAGTGAAATATTTATTTCTAAAATATCATATTAAACAGTAATCTCGGACTTTTCAGTACGTCTTGTGATCTCTGTTTTTTGCCTTTATAAATAGCATATGAAAACAAATCAAGTGTCTATGTACCACATTGAACAAAAAATTAAAGTTTAACATTCTTATATCGTCGTATTTCTATAGAATATCTTACGAGACAAAGTTTTTCAGGTCTAGCAAGTTATTTTGAACTGAAAGGCTTTTATTTTATGAACCTGTTCCCATCCATTTGTCACAAATTTATAACAAGAAGAAGATATTGCTCACTTTTAGAAAAAAACTTTCTATCTTATGTGTTTTTTTGCTGGTTTTCGTCTTATGTCACAAGTGAAAGTAAAATAAAAAAGGCAGTAAACTAAATAAACCTGTTTCAAGTACATGCGGTATTGTATTTCTAGCAGAATTCAATAACGAATGGATAGAAAAGTATCATTTAATCTCTAAGAGTTTTAAAAATGCAGGTCTGCTAGAAACACTGTTTCTTTTTCAAGTTTGGTTTTAATTTTTGCATTAACGTAAAAAATATCTTCAATTTTGTCAGATAGGATGCATACGTAAAAATTAGAGTGGAGATATTCTATTTGCGATTTCAAATAATTCTACGTCTGAATTTTCGCATGAATATTCGTTTATCTTTCTCTCTCTTTCTCTCTCTCTCTCTCTCTCTCTCTGTCATTTTCTACCATTTTCTAATTAGCCGGTTGAGGACCCGAGGAAAACGTAATATCAGACTGGATGAGAAGTGAGTTCCCCGTTTCTCTAACGCGTGCAAATATATGATATCCTGTCGACATAGAGTTATATGTGTACATTCGGCGAAAGAGAAGGAATACATGTATTCCAGTAGCGAGATCGTGCAAAGAGAGTTACGATATACACTGCCTGGCTCCAGACCGTCGCGTCGCGAAAGGGTCACGTTTATTCTCGTGTAAAACGTGCTTGCATATTAGATTGTCTCGAAAACATGACGTACTTTTCCGAGTACAGCTATTAGAAGACAAGCTAAGAAAAATGGTTTCTTTCAACGTTGGTTGGCTTCTCACAGTTTCTCACACGATGGAAAATTGAATTTTCGAAGAAAATAGAGAATAAAGTATTACGGCTCAATCAACGGCTTTGAATACATTTTATTTTAACAAAAGAGTAATCTAGAATTTAAATGAGCAATTGCAAGAGAGATTGATTATATTTTAAACATTTTTCCGTAATATTATTCCGTATTTATCAAATAATTTTTACGCGGAGAAATGGGATAAAATTTCGTATCATCCTGTATGTATCTTCACAATGAATAAAATTTTGATAAGAATAAAGAAACTAGCGGTTTAGAGAAAAAAAAGTTTCAGCAAACTAAAAAAAAAGCATCTTCTAGATCCTTAAAAAACATCCTTGAAAAATAGGACAAATGTTTGATTCATTTATTGTATGAAATGAATGAATAAAATTTGGAAAAAATAAGACAGAAAGAGATTACATTATTTCTTTATCGTAGCACTGGAAAATGATATATATGACCTAAAATATATGGAAATAAAGAAGTTACAATTAAATTCTTAGTGTAAAATATAATGCTAATAAAAATATGAAAGAGAAAAAGTTAATTAAATTTGATAATTCACTTCCTCATCTTCGTGATTTATTTGCCCTAATATATTGCTATCTCTGGAACATCTCTGACAAACTCTCGTACGAATTCTCTCTCGCTCCACGAGCCCCAACTATTCTGCCTCTTAACCGTCGATGCTCAATAGTGGATGCGCAAAATCAAGCGTTCGCGAGATTTGGAATTTCCGGGACTTCCGCCAAACACAGTCGCGCGCGCGCGCGGGCGCGCACACACATCGGGAGAGACAGAGAGAAAGAGAGAGAGAGAGAGAGCGGAACAAAAACACGCAAAGTCCCTGGACACGATGCGCGGGGCTTTTGGCCTGACCTCGCTTTGCCACCAATTAGCATCTCCCTTAATGACGATCGCCGAGCGTGCACGCGCGCTCGCGTGACACTCGCCTGCATGGTGATGTACGTATCGCGCGTATACGCACACGTACGCGCGAGACGGAGACAACGTGAGATCCATAAAAAAGTCCTTTGCCCCCACCGATCGCGGTTTGGCCCTTTCCCCTATCGCGATCTCGCCCTACCAAAAGCGCATACGGGCGCAACGTGCGCAACCCCGCGGATCCCCCACTCCCGGCGATACGCCGTTTTCTCCTCCAGCCGCTCGCCGCGACGAGAGATCTTTATTTTGATCGTCGACCGATTAACGGCCGCCGAGCGCGCGTTCTCCACGCCTCCGCCGTCTCCGCTTGGCCAATCGGCACGTGTGCCGCCAGCCATTTTGGTCCATACGGATGCTGCGCGCACGTGCACCGTCCTTCTCCCTCCCCTCCGCCTTTGCGGCGAGCCGCGAAGGGTGTAGCCTTGCGAATGTGTGCGCGCTTGTCAACCGTGCATGTGTGTGTGTGTGTGTGTGTGTGTGTGTGTCTGTGTGTATGAGTGTGTGCGCGTCGTAGGCGCGCTTGTTCATCGAGGCAGAGTATTTCCATTAGAGAACAGGAGAAAGCCGCCGCATCCCTCACTCGCGGACACAAGCGCACCGCTGATGTTTCGTATGGTTTTCAAGAAGCCGGGATAGGCGATACAATCGTTGAAATCGCGCGTGGTTCCGTGATCGAGATTTTGATACAACCGAGAGAGGGGGAGCGCCCGAATAAAAAACAATGGCGGCAAAATATATTGTCCTCATCGATTTTTCCATGGTAAACGTGAAAAATTAGAAGCAAACCGCCCGAGTTCGGTCTCATTCTCGTCACGTGCGTTGCATTGCGCGTAAATAGTTACAACTACCGGCGTCAAATCTCCGTCAACGGAGTTGGCAGGAGGAGGGGGGGGAGGAGGAGAGAGAGGAGAGAGCAAGAGGGCAAGTTAAGAGCTCGCGCGCGCGAGCTCGCTGTCCGCTTTTATCAGTGCGCTCTCCTTTTCCTCCCCGTACCCCGTACACGTCGAACACGTTTCTTCGTTCACGTGTGGAGGATATTGTTCGCGCGTTCACGAGGAGGACGCGGATGTGTCCCGCCGAGACACAGAGCCCAGGGGGGACGGGGGTGGGAGATAGGAGGACCGAGAGGGTGAATCGGGAGAGATTGCGCAGTGCCGCGCTCTCCTCTCGCGCGTATGTATCATCGGAGCCAGAGCTCGTTTATAACGATAGCAGAGGGAAAGAGGAAGAACGAGATAGGAGGACATCCCGAACTACCATCGTGAACCCTCCCGCCACACACTCGTATTCCGGCGCGCGGCGATGCGCTAGTGGGGGGACGTTCTCTCGGAGAGGTGGCTGGTAATCGAGGAGTGCATCAGATAGGCAGGGACGAGCCGGAATCTCCTCTCTCTCTCTCTCTCTCTCTCTCTCGTGGTGTGTGTTTGTGGAGCGTGTGCGTGTATGTGTGGAGCGCGTACTCACGGGCTGTGAATTCCCCGTCCACCCGGTGGTGTTGGTGGACCCGTCCTCCTGCCCCCTGTCTCGTCGTCCAACGGTACACACACATACACAGTCCGCACACACGAGTCCGTCCCCCGCGTATCGTGCTGCGCGAATGGAGGCGGGCGGTTTTCGACGACGGAGAGGGAGGGGAGTATCGAAGGCAGGACGATCCGCGATCAACACACGTAGGTACTCGACTGCGTGCGCGTGTGTGGCCCTCCCCTTCCTCCGTGGCTCTCGCGCTCACATATTCACGCGTATACGAGTATCCCACCGGGGCCCATCCTCCATATACCGCGCGCATTCTCGCTCTCGCTCCAGCTGCCTCTCTCCCTTCCCTTCGTCGCCCCCGCTATCCCTCCTCCCCCCCTGCGGCTGGTCCGCGACACCGTGTATCTCCCCGGCGTCACACGGACACAGGCAGACGCGCCACGGCAGCCGTCCCCGGAACGGAGCGTGTGCGGGTTCCACGGGGGAGACGTGCAGGTTCAGTTCGGTGGGCTCGCGGATGACAGCGGGGAACGTGGTGAAACGGGGTTGATCGAGGGTGGAGGGAGGGGGGTGGTGGTGGTTGTGCGATTCTGGGGGGCACACGCCGTTTTCAGCACCGCCAAACGGCGGTAACGCGAAGCGTGCGCGCGCGCGCGACGTCGTGTCGCCCTGCCACCGTCGAATCGTCGTCGCCGATCGACGCCGTCGCCGGCGTTGAGGGAACAACACCTGGGAGGTAACGCTCGCACGCTCGCTTGCTCTCTCGCGCGCGACAATATGAGTCCAAGTGAGTAAAGCTCGGAGCACCCACATTTCGACGGCGACGTCGTCACCCCGCGGCCCGCGCGTTTTCTCTTCGCCGTCGCGAAGAGCGCCGCAGCAGACGCCGGAAAAACGCGAAAAACGGCCCCTCTGACACAACGGAGTGAGTAGTCATCCGCTGGTTCTTCGGCGTCCTAGGAACGCGGATTCCCCGCTTCCGATCATCCGTGTCGGACGATCGGACGAACGTACGCCGCGTGAGTACTCCGACTCTTGACGTTTTACCGGTGTGACGCGCTCCGTTCGACGAGATTTACGAGATGATCAACAAGATTCGCGAGTGAGAGGACGTACGAAGAGGAGCAGCGAACCGGGAAGCGGCGGCGAGACCGAGGACAAGCTGAAGAGTAGACACGTGCGTGAGAGTACCATATTCCAGAAACATTACTGGCATCCAAGGATATCGTCTTCGGTCGGTACGGAGAAACAGCGAGAACACGCCGAGAACACGTTGGAAAAGGTAAGCGACAGAGTAAACTTGTTAGAGGATTGGAGTGGATGCACGAGATGTTATGTAAACACGGGGGGGGGGGGGGGGGGGGGGGGGCTTAGAGCGCCCGAGCGTCGCCACCCCGTGGCGAGAGGGCTGCGAATCTTCCGGCTTAGGGATCTCTGTTTTTTTTTTCGCCGTGATTGTACGTGATGAGAGGACAGTGCGACGTGACTGTCAATTTACGAGGAGCACGAGAGAGACGGAGACGCTCCATTCGATTCCTTATGTCACTTTGCGCCTTCACATTCTTCGTCTCCTGTCGAACACGTTCCCTACATCTTTTATGTGCGATTCGAAACGAGCAAATTGCTCTGAAAGTCCACTCGAGCAAATCGAGTATCGGCGCGTTATATATTTGTTATATCGTTACCTCGAGATAGTGTGTTTTCACCTTAGTTTTTCCATTGTTGCTGAATATTTGTGGTGCGAATCCGTGACATTGACTGCGACTATTTGTTGTATCTCGCTTTAAGCTAGAAACATTGTGAAAGCATCAATCCTATCGAGATAAATCCTATCGAGATAGATCCTAAGGAGATGGTAAAATAATATAAATACCAACATAACTTATAAATATATAAATTGAAGCTGCATCGCCTGAAAAATCTTATGATTCGTATAGGCCCCAAGAACGACGCGGTTGTATCGTTTAATTACACATAAATAAATCAATAGACATAAATTTTAATGAAATTTTAAATTTCATAAACTGTTATTTTTTAAAACACGCATTCTGTGCTTCGATGTATGCTCTCTGTCTCGATCGAAAAAGAATCACGCAGTCTTTAGATTTACTCCAATTGTTTCTCACGCATATTAAATACAGGGGAGCTCTTTAGATGTTTTTCGGCAGAATTTCGCTAGCGACTCAGGAATCTCGCAAACATCCATAACACAAATAACGAAAGTTGGAGGCTGCTGTTTAATAACAGCGTCACACGTTTTTGAATCCGATCCTATATACACTGTAAAAAAATTTTGTAAAATTACAATTATTATATGGGTAATTTTGAGACCCACTAATAGTTGTAATTATACAATATAATGGTTGTAATTTTACAAAATTACAGTACGGAAGGAAAAAGTAATTTTGTATTACAATTACACAAATTAAAAATGTGTGGAAATTTACGCCTATTATAGTGGGTCTCAAAATTACCTGTAATTTTACAAAATTTTTTTTACAGTGTACGCGTATTTTGAGATTCAGATCTGGTACAATATACTCTAAAATATATCAGAAAATATGCTCTAAAATATGTTACATGTATAAGTGAAACATAAAAAAAGACCCGCGTCGCGTTTTGAGAGGAACTGCTATCTATTCTTATTATTGGCAGAACCGTCGCATTATAAATTCTCGCAATTCTCTCGGAAATTGCGACATTTCTTAATTCTTAATGCACCAGTGATTATGCAGTGATCGATATCACATACACAGTTGTGCATCTTCCAGCGTTTTCTCCAATCGCGTTTTGTTCGGGTGGCCAAACACGCATATTCGGGAAACTGGCCAAACATCGTCTGCTTGTCACACGATTCGCCACTAATTTAATTACCAAAAGCCTTCGATTTGTCGAGACTTCCCGTAAATAACTGTCATTGTCCTGCTCTCTGAGATATGCTTTCGATTAATATATATCTATAAACTGCAACGATGTTTCCAATAACACGATGACACTAAGCATCCTGCGATAATTGCAATCCTGTGTTAACGACGCCTTAAATTAAGGCGTGTCTGGAGGACGAGGATACAGAAATTATTGCCGCGGTAGAGAATAACTGGAAAAACCACTGTGAAAATTAGTGGGCCGTTCTCAGATTAGATTTTGGCCGAAACACGATGACGATTATCCCGTCACGCCCTCCGGTCGTTCGAATCACGGAGAAGGAAGCCTCCTTCGTTGAAGCGAGACGGAAATCCTGATTCCTGACACTTATCTAGAGGCTATAAATCTTTCCCCGTGAGGTCAACATACGTATTCGTGACAGCTCCCGGCTTCTCGTGTTACGTCGCATTGTAATAAAAAATTTAAGATACAGAAATCGGGAAATTGCATTCTTTGAGCTCTCGTTGTCTCGGCAGTTACTAACGCGTTTATTTTTCCATTTGTACATATATTTACATATTTGTTACTATTTACATTATTGATTTACGTTGATAATAGTATAGCATCAGCGCGTAAATTGATATAAAAGAAAAAGAGAAATCTTCCTCGCTTGGAATAACAAAGATGAAATAATCCTGTCGATAATGTCAAACGAGCGACCGTATGGATAAATAGATCGGCTTAAAATCTCAACCGCGACTTCGTCAAATCATGAAAGAAAACCGCCGAGTGTATGCGTATATATACCGAATGTCGCGATCGTTACTCGCGCGACTTGAAATTGGCGTAACGGTCGGTGGATGCGCGGAGTTCTTTTCCGCGTCGCGCTTATGAATCCCTCGATCGAGTCCCGCGCGCGCGCGGGGCTTCTGATAAATGAAGTCGCGGAAATCGCGGCCGTGCCGAAAGAAAGCGGCGGACGGGACGGAGCGCGGCTTCTTGCGTAAGAACCGCGCGAATAAAAGATCGGCGCGGCGCCTTTTCGCGCGTATCACGCGCGTGAGTGGCACCGGTAGCCAGTCGCATGCTCGTCCTGTTAATTGTCGCCAATTAACGAGGTACACCTCTCGCCGGTGCGGCGTCTCACCTTGCCTTTGCCGAAGCCACCTCCTTATCGGCACTATTCAGGATCGCCGCCGTGCTCTTTTCTCTCCGCCGGCTCGTACACCCCGACGAGCAGCGGTAAACCATCGTTCGCGCTTTTGTCGGTATAAACGCCACGTCATCCCCGCTAATCGTCACGAAAACGTATGCCGCGTTTATACGACGTCCACTCGATAAAGACCGCTACCGGCCGCGCGAGAGTGAAACGCGCCGCGCCGAGCATCAATCTTTGTACCGATTTCTTTGGCCGAGCGCGGCCGTCCTAACCGCGGTAAGATCGGTAATACGAGTTTAGTTACCTATCGCGTCGGGGTTCCGGCACCGAAATCGCCGCTCGTTAGCGAGGCACATTCGCGTTCTCCTTTGCCTTCGGTGAGAAGTGCCTAGACGAAAGAGTGTCTCGTGAGAAGATGATTTCCTGAACATTCGCCAGCTTATTCTCCAGTTTTTTGCGCGAGTAAAATTATCGTCCCTTCAAGAACGATTGTTACTAAAAGAATTTTGGTAAACTTTATCACAATGCTTTGAATGAACTCTCTAAATCTCATAGAGCGATTTTGCCATTAATTATATATTTGAGTGATTGCGATAGTCACTCCGAAAGAGAGGGCTATCACTCTAATTTGAGTAAATGCGGGCACTCTTAAGATAGGAGTGAATTTTTCACTCAAATTTTTAGAGCGGTTAATCTACCGGAGTGATACGATTTCACTCTAAAGCTGATTTCATCAAATCATCAAATCACGACTCACTAAAGATCAACTGATAAATGACTCTAACAGAGTGAAATTTTCCACTCAAAATTGTAGAGTGACATAATTCACTCTTATGGACACTGATCTACTTCACTCGAAAAGAATGTCCGTTACTCAAATGGAGTGCGATTTCATTACAACTTATATAGGCTCAATTTTCACTTTTCGTTACACTTGATGCATTTCACTTGTTTCGAGTGATATATTTCACTCTTCGATTTTTAGAGAGAATGTACTCTTTTGTTGAGTAAGGCAGTTATTTTAATTGCTGATTGATATATTTGAATCGAGAAATTAATTATAAAAGTTATATATGATAGAAAAATTTTTGCTTGCATTAGATATTCTATAAATGTCGATATTTATGACGTTGCTAATGAAACTTTTATTGAAATCAAACAGAACGATAAATATCAATTAGAAACTGATACGATTTAATATATTAGATGATGTTTAATGGGGTTATAATCACTGCTCCAACTGTTAGACTAATCACAGTTATAGTCGATTCGCGAGAGGTCCAATTGATCAACCTGTTTCTCTAGATGTTTACAGCAAGGTCTATAAAGCATCGCGATCGTGTTGTTTCTGTTTTAACCAGGTAGCTAAGAATATATATGTACAACTGTGTAAGGATCAAAGATACACGTGAAGGAATTTTTAAATGTTATTTAACAAACTTTTTAGAGAATTATTTTTTAGGTAAATTAGATTGAAATTTTACCAGGCACGTGATATTTTAATAACATTAAATTTTATAGAATTATAGTCTGTGACGTGTGAAATAAAATTACACGTGCCAGAAACGCGAATTCTCTTTTCAAGTTGTCATCCAAAGATAATTTTCCCAATGAACGAACGTAATTAACGCATTTGGCTAATACAGTTAATCACGGTAATCTATATTTGACTCAGGTTTCAATTTAAACAATCAAAATAACGAGAACTTAATCGATTTCGATTGTTGTACATCTCTCAACGTCGCGACAACGGGCATCGTCGCCTACGCTTCACTTTCACTCGATTCACTCGCGTCGCGTCGCGTTGCACGTTCCCGCAAGGTTCCCGTACCGTGGTGGCTCGTGTTGCCCTTTTTTTCACGAGTCATCTCCGTAGGTGCCGCGCAGTTTTCACGGGCGAGAAGTGGCCGACGACGGGGGGTTGGCGGATTGTGTACGTCTCGTGGTGTCCGGGGCCCGACCGAACGAGCTGACGGACAAACGCACAATGAGAACGAGGAATGCCCCGCAGAGCCAGACATGAAGATGTCACTCAGAAACGGTAACGGTCAGGACACGGGGTCAGGCCCGATCTGACCGTTCCGGGCTGGGCTTCGCCATCAGCTGCGCTCTCTCGAGTGAGTCAGCGTCGGCTCGGCCAGTCTGCGCCGTCGCTTCGGAGCACCTTCCTCGAGACGAAATTCCGAGGAAGCCCTCGATATCGTCGGCTTCACACGTTTATACGCTTCGAGAGCCACACGTTTTATGATAGATAGGCA